AATGCCCCTAAGCCCCCCACATTACCTATTTTTTAATCCTTATTTTCTTCCCCGATCTATATTCAGGGCGCAGCCATCTTTGTGTGGGTAGATGAAGTCCCTGTGGGACACGTCATCAGCCCACACTAGACAGACTGTGAGATTCCCGCACATGCCCAGTGAAACACCTGGACATGCGAACGGGAATTTCATCCATTCATTCATTCATCAGACAGACGAATGAGTGAATAGAAAGATCAGCCGAACAAACTAACACAATGTATCTGTGTATCAGTGTTAGTTTGTTCGTTCAGTTTATTACAAGGAGGGAGCTACCGGCGTGCAGCTCCCTCCTTGTAATATGTAACGATAGAAGTGGCAGGGAGCAGTGCTCCCCACCACTTCATAAGCCCCCCAGTACCCCCTCTCACTCTATGGGGGTCAATATGACCCCCATAATAGCACAAGGGAGATAAAAATCTCCCAAATGCCCCTACTCGCTATACCGCGAGTAGGGGCATGTCCACTAAACAGTGAGCAGCCTGTGGCTGCTCACTGTAAAAAACAAAAAAACAAAAAAACAACTATTGGCCCCCACCCCTAAACAGTGAGAATGAGGGGGGGGGCAGTACTCCCCCCACCCCTGGGCGGCGGGTGGGGGCCATAATGAGAATGGGATGGGACCTACTGCCCCCCCCCGGCCCCCACCCCTGGGCGGCGGGTGGGGGCCATAGTGAGAATGGGGGGGGACCTACTCCCCCCCCGGCCCCCACCCCTGGGTGGCGGGTGGGGGCCATAATGAGAATGGGGGGGGACCTACTGCCCCCCCCGGCCCCACCCCTGGGCGGCGGGTGGGGGCCATAGTGAGAATGAGGGGGGGCTACCCCCCGCCCCCACCCCTGGGCGGCGGGTGGGGGCCATAGTGAGAATGAGGGGGGGACCTACTGCCCCCCCCGGCCCCCACCCCTGGGCGGCGGGTGGGGGCCATAATGAGAATGGGGGGGACCTACTGCCCCCCCGCCCCCACCCCTGGGCGGCGGGTGGGGGCCATAATGAGAATGGGGGGGGACCTACTGCCCCCCCCGGCCCCCACCCCTAGGCGGAGGGTGGGGGCCATGAAGATAATGAGGGGGGGGGACCTACTGTCCTCCCCCCCCCGGCCCCCACCCCTGGGCGGAGGGTGGGGGCCCTAAGTCAATTACCCCCCCCCAAGGTGACTAGGGGTCCCCAAGCCCCTAGTCACCCACCCCCCACCCAAAAAAAACAAGTCCCTACCTACCCCCCTCACCCTAAAAAATAGTGAGGGGGGGATAAAATAACTAACCTGTAAAATAAAATTAAACTTACCATTCGACGTCTTCTTTTTTCTCAAATCTTCTTTTTCAGCCCCAAAAAAGGCCAAATAAAAAACCATCATAACCGTCGAATTGAAAATAAAATAAAAATCCCGAGCGCAAAAAAAAAAACCCGACGGAAAAAAAAAAACCCGAGCGCAAAAAAATAATCCATCTTCACCCATGGAGGGCTCCGCGCAGACTGAGCTCCGCAGAGCGGGGGAAGGCTTATAAAGCCTTGCCCCGCCCTGCAATTAGGCTAAGAACACTCTGATTGGTGGGTTTAAGCCAATCAGAGTGTTCTTTGTCAGTATAGCGAGTAGGGGCATATTACTTACTAATACTAAGTAATTGTTACTTGGTATTAGTAAAGTTGGCTGAAAGACCAATTTAGGTCTTTCAGCCTTTCAGTAGATAGCTCCCTGATACCGTGGGAATTAGGGAGTTATCTACTAAGCGGCTGCAAGATGGAGCCACAGCAAGAATAGGATCAGAGTTTCATTCATTCGAATGAAATTCTGATCCGAATAAAGTGCCGAATTGCGTTCTAAAAGAAACGAACAGACTGTTGTCATTCAGTTAGAACGCAATTCGGCAGTTTTGTGTAAAATGACAGGAAGCATTGTGGGAACATTGAGGAAAGCTAGGGATCATGGGAAAATTGCTCTGACCAGCGGAAATGAAGCACACTTTGCTCCTCCGCTGGTCAGAGCTGGTCAAGCGGGGGGATCCTCCATAAGGCAAAGAGTCCCTACTTTGTGTTATGATTTTAAAGAAAACTAAAGAAGACAGGAAGAAAAGAATAACAGATCCTGAGAGAGGGGGAGAAGAGGAAGAGATTGAGGAAAGGTAAGTTCGGCATGACAGTGCCGCTTTAATATTATTTTATAATAAATTGTTCCCATTTTTCATTCACCTACTGTATCCTGTATAAGTGTATTCAAAGGGAGGGGCAGTGTCATCCCACAATTTGACACTAGGCAAAAATACTTAGAGCCGGTTACCAAGGGCTCTAAATAAGGTGAGTGTTTCTATTTTTACTTATATGGATATCACTTCCATTTTGAGATGCTACACTTAGTATAAAATATCTGTGTCTCTTATATATTCGGTGGAGAATATTCATATCTTCCTCAGGAGAGAGGGGTTGTGTGATCTACCCAAAAAGACACAGACGCGCAGAAGTTTAGAGCCTAATACTAGAAAAGGCTCTAACAAATGTGAGTGTATATATTCACTTATTTCACCGATCTCTCCATTTAAATTCATATTACACTATTATCTGTATATGTTCTTTCTGTTCTTCTTTTTTATGTACCAATTGTATCAAGAGAAACGATAAAGGGTAAGAGTTCCAAGATCCAGTGAACGCACTTACCTAGCACTAATATAGCGCTGCACTCACTTAAGGAACTTTAGATTTGGATGGTGGCAACATCATCCAAATCAAAAGTTTTTCTGTGTTTTGGTGAGAACTAGTTAATGTCAGAAACGTGGTGAATTGTTGTATGCTGGACTTACGATCAATGTATTTAAACAAGGGTTATAAGAGCTAAACCACAGAACTCTCTACTTGGATTGCTAAAAGTATACACCCCAACTGTCCAGTATCTGGGGAAACAGTCCTGTTTCACTTTCTTAGGCTTTCCTATTATGTGCCCAGTGTGGACACATAGAGTGCTACAACAGGCCTCTTGTATGTAAATGCAAGGCATTTCCACCTGTACGAAAGTGCTTCAGCAGTGCTTTTTGAGTGAATAGCCCTACTTGGTTTACTGACAGAGCTGGTGTAATCCCTTTCGTTGATGAAGACCACGTAATGGTGAACCATTGCCACATGCATGAACGCAGTTGTTTGGAAATATTGGGATAGCTGAGTTTCATTACTATTTGATGTGACCCCATATGTCAGTGCCCCCACAGTATTAGGAAATATGTTAAAGAGACCGATCCTATATGGGCTATAGTTATATACAATAGCTTTTAACCGTGTTAATGATACTCTTTTTACTCCTTGTTCAATAAGACAGAAATGTAATAATTTATTCACTAAATGTGGAATTAGAACTGACAAAAAAGGGGGTTATAACTTTTAGATAACACATCTCCATCATAGTTATATTTGGATATTTTTAGCTATTTTGGTCTAACATTTTCTGTGGCTAGTTTAGTGAATAAAGCAGTGCGATTTTTACAGCATAATAAGTCAGTCAATCTAGTCTGCCCACAACCAACTATTTCCAGCATCGTAGCATCAAAACCTAGGATGTGGACGAGTCAACGACAAGACTTTAAAGGAGGGGTATCAGGACCGGCACACAGGGTCTGGGGCTGGTATGGATCTTGTCAGTCAGCAAGGAGAGATGCTCCCATTCTTATCAGTTTTCCATGTTTAGTGTTTATATGGCGTAAGGAGGGGGGAAGTACCATTCCTCAATTCTACGTAAACCCAAGAGCTCCCCACTTCTGCATTAGCAATTTTAGGCCAAATATGGATGGTACTGATAGCTTTGTAGCAACAGCTAGTAGTTTAAGCCACTCAATGCATTCCAAAACACCTAGCATTATAACTACTGCAATGGGGTGTCCCTTTACTAATTTAGTTTGAATTATCTATTTTTTATTTCCATCAAATATTATGTCATTTTCTGTTATATATAGTAGAGAATTAATGTATCTATTTTGCAAAGCTTTCAGTGGAATGTATAAAAAAAAAGACCAAATCGTAGAGATTTGAAAACCAAGCTGCAAAATTTAAACTAAAATAGCCTAGCTGTGACTATCACGGAGTTGGTAAATTTTTGAGGTTAGCTATTTTGGCATTCATTTCACAACTCGGCATTCCGTTCACCACAATTCCCTGTTTAGTGAATAAGTCCCAAAATGGTTACTGTCCCTTTAATTTTGGAGTTTGAGAACAACTTGCTTCATCACAAAACCCCATAGATGTCACTGT